CTAGAGCTACCATTTGATCCAGCAATCCCATTACTGGGCATCTACCCAAAAGAACAAAAGTGGCTCTATAAAAAAGACACCTGCACTCGAATGTTTATAGCAGCACAATTCACAATTGCAAAGATGTGGAAACAACCCAAGTGTCCATCATTACATGAGTGGATTAATGAAATGTGGTGTGTGTATATATATATATATATATATTTATATATATCTTGGAATACTACTCCACTACAAAAAACAGTGGTGATCTAGCACTTCTTTTATTATCCTGAATAAAGCTGAAGCCCATTGTACTAAGTGAAGTATCATAAGAATGGAAAAACAAGCACCACATGTACTCAACCATCAAACTGGTATTAACTGATCAACACTTATGTGCACATATAGTAGTAACATTCATCAGCTGTTGGGCAGGTGGGAGGGGGAGGATGGGATGTGTATATTCACATCTAATGGGTGTGGTGTGCACCGTCTGAGGGATGGACTCACTTGTAGCTCTGACTCAGGCAGAGCAAATGCAATACATGTAACTTAAATATTTGTACCCCTGTAATATTCTGAAATAAACAAACGATTAAATGAAAAAGAGCACTAGAGGCTGGGCACAGTGGCCCTTCCCTGTAATGCCAGCACTTTGGGAGGCCCTGTTAAGCAGGTCCCTTGAGGCCAGGAGTTTGAGACCAGCTTTGGCAACATAGGAAGACCCTGTCTCTACACAAAATAAAAAAATTAGCTGGGTGTGGTGCTGTATACCAGTAGTGCCAGCTACTTGGGAGTCTTGAGGCAGGACAATTGTCTGAGCCCAGGAGTTTGAGGTTACAGTGACATATGATAACACCACTGCACTCCAGCCTGAGGGATAGAGTGAGAGGCAGTTTCAAAACAAAAACGAAAACAGGAACAAGAATAAACAGCAAAAAACCCCTCAAGGCCCTGGTCGCTTTCTTGAATAAATGTGACCTGCAGGTTTTTACAGGTCTTAAATCAAAAGCCTATAAAATTTATACACAGAGGGCAGCTTGGCCCATCCACTGGCACTGTTCTAGCCCCCACCCTCATTCTATTTTTCTTTCACTCTCATTTTATTTCTTAACTTTCCCTTGGTTCTGCCCATCTCCCCTGCTTCTGCCTGTTTCTGGCAGTGGTGTCTCTTTATAACTCTCCTTGTCTTGATGTGTTTCTTTCTCCATCTCTTCTTGTGAATATCTTGGCTCCCTGATTTTTTTCCTTTTCTTTGACTCCTCCCCTATACATTGCCACCTTCCTTTATAAATGCCTCTCTGACATCAATACTTATTACCTCCATTTCTGTCTTTTGGAATTGTCTCAATTCCTAAGGACTTTCTCCTGTTAATCTGAGGGCTCACTGCTTGAGGTGCTGGCCCCCTCCCCCTCCTGCCTCCAGCCCAGGCTACCTGCACTGCCTCGGTGGGCCCTGATGAAGTGCCTGAGCCCCTTACCTGGTAACCTGTGATTCACGGCTACAAATTCATCCAGCCAGCCTTACCTATTGTGTCCGATGCCTGGTTATGGTTAGTTCTTGCTTCGGCTTGCTGCTCATCTTCTGGGTTAAAAAGTGGTATTTCCTTCATTATATTCGCCAGAGGCACAAAACAGGAATTCATTTGGAGTCCTTGGCTGGATAGCTCTGCCCCTGGGTAAAATTGTAGGAAACAAAGCATTTTTATTTGTCTCTCCAGTGGGCCTTTCACCGCCATTGATGACTCCTCCCTCAATTTCACTGCTGGGGAGAAGCCTTCCCCCAACCCTTCTTTTTTATTTTCCTTTTCCTTAACTCCATTTCTTTCTTTGTGCCTCTCTTGATTCAGTTGTTTTTTTTTTTTTTCTATGTTTCCCTACCTAGTCTTCATATCCTTTGATGGCTACTTTTCTAGCCTTTTTTAAAAATAAAAATTATAGGATAGCTTGAGGCATGGAGTTTGAGACCAGCCTGGACAACACAGCTAGAGCCCATCTCTACAAAAAATAAGCAGAATTATCCAGGTGTGGTGGCTCACATCTGTAGTCCCAGCTACTCTGGTGGCTGATGTTAGAGGATAACTTCATCCCAGGAATTCAACGTTCCAGGGAGCTATGTTTGTGCCACTGTACTCCAGGATGGGTGATAGAGCAAGACCATGTCTTTAAACAAATAAATAAAAAATTATAATTGCAGAATAATATACATAGATAAAAGTGGATTTTGAATGATCACAAAGTTAGCATATCACTTTGGTCAAGAAACAGGATTTCCCCAACACCACAGAAACCTCCTAGTGACACCTCCAACTAACTGCCCATACAGTCTTGCTTAAGGCCAACCACCATCTTGCCTCCCAATACATAAATTAATTTTGGCTGTTATGTAATTTATATAAATGGAATCATGCTCTCTTCTTCTTTGCTCACTCTCTCTCTATGTATATACACATATATGTATGTATATACATATCTTCCACAAAGAAGCCAAATCCCAGCAAATTTATATGTATATTTTTCAATATGCTTGTAAAAGTTATGTATATTCATTTTCTGTAATTATGTTCACTGGTGTATAGTATTCAATTATAGAAATAAGCCATGAAGTATTTATCCATTTGTGCTGTTTCAAGTGCTTAGCTGTTATGAATAATGCTACTATAAAGATGCTTCTCTATGTGTTTTGATGAAGGTAATACATATTTCTCTTGGTTTCTGCTGAGGAGTTTAAATGTTGAGTTGTAGGGCATGTATACTTTCAACTTTGGAAGATTACACAAAACTGTTTTCCAAAAGCATATGTGAAGGGAGATGTAAGAGAGAGAACTTGGCAAGTTCAAGTAACTAACGAAACTCTCAATATGATAAAACCTCTCCACAAATTACTAATAGCTATAGAAGAAATGTACCACAGCACAATAAAGGTCATATATGACAAGTCCAAAGCTAATATCATATTCAATGGGAAAAGTTGAAAGCATTCCCTCTAAGATCTGGAATAAGATTAGGATGCTGTCTCTCCACCACTTCTACTCAATATAATACTGCAAGTCTTATCTAGAGCAATTAGGCAAGAAAAAGAAATAAAAGGCATCCAACTTGGAAAAGGAGAAATTAAATTGTCGCTATTTACAGATGATATGATCTTATATGTAGAAAACTCCGACAACTTGACCAAAAAACTGCTGGAACTAACAAATACAGGAAAGTGGAAGGACACAAAATCAACATGCAAAAATCAGTTGCATTTCAATACACAATAAAGCATATGAAAAAGAAATTATGAGAACAATCCAATTTACAATAAGTACAAAAAATACTTAAGAATAAATTTAACCAAGGAGGGAAATATTTGTATACTGAAACTCTAAGACACTGATGAAAGAAATTGAAGGAGAAACAAAGAAATGGAAAGATTATCTGATAACCCATATTCATGGATTAGAAGAATTAATATTGTTAAAATGTCCATATTACTCAAAGTGCCCTACAGATTCAATGCAATCCGTAGGAAAATTCCAATGGCGTTTTTCACAGAAATAGAAAATACAAATCTAAAATTTGTGTGGAAGCACAAAAGATCCTGTATAGCCAAAGCAATTTTAAACAAAAGAACAAATCTGAGAGTATCACACTATCCGACTTCAAAATATACTACAAAGCTATAGTAATTGAAACAGTATGATACTGGCATAAAAATAGAGACATAGACAAATAGAACAAAAAAAATTTGAACGTTAGGATCTGTGCATTTATGATCAATTGATTTTCAACAAAGGTGCCAAGCACACAAAATGGGGAAATGACAGTCTCTTGAATAAATAGTATCAGAACAACTGCATATCCACATGCAGAGGAATGAAATTAGACCCTTACTTCACAGCTTAAAAAAAAACCACCTCAAAATGGATAAAAGATTTAAATATAAGAACTGAAACTGTAAAACTACTAGAAAAAAACATAGGGGTAAGCTCCATGACGTTGATCTGAGCAACAATTTTTCAGTGATAACACCAAAAACACAATCAACAAAAGCAAAAATAAACAAGTGGGGCTACATCACATTAAAAAGCTTTTGCATATGTTGCTGTTCAAACCCTCAACAGAATAGAGAGAAAACTTACAGAATGGGAAAAAATATTGGCAAACCATATACCGGATGAGGGATTACTATCCAAAATATATAAGGAACTCAAACAACTCAGTAGTAAAAAATAAAAAACAAATAAACTAATTTTAAACCATTTTAAAAATAGGAAAATGATCTGAAAAATAATTTCTCGAAAGAATACATGCAAATGATAAACAGTATCAAAATGCTCAGTATCACTAATAATCAGGAAAATGCAAATTAAACCACAAAGAAATATCACCTCATATCTGTTGGAATGGCTGTTATCAAAGACTAAAGATAACAAATGTTGGCAAAGATGTGGAGAAAAGGGAACCCTGGCACACTGTTAGTGGAAATGAAAATTAGTTCAACCATATGGAAAACAGTATTGATTTTCCTCAAAAATTAAAAAAGGTAGTAACATATGATCAGCCATCCCCCTACTGGGTATATATCCAAAGGTTATGAAATAAATACAGATGCTTCTAGATTTATGATGGGGCTACATCTCCATAAATCCATTGTAAATCAAAAATATTGTAAGTCAAAAACACATTTAATACCTTGATAAACCCATCATAAAGTTGAAAAATCCTAAGTTGAGCCATCATAAGTCAGGGACTGTCTACACAGTAGGAGATGTCTGCACTCCCATGTTCACTGCAGCATTATTCACAGCAGCCAAGACTGGACGTCAACCCAAGCATCCATCAAGGATGAATGGATAAAGAAATGTAATTTGTATGTACACAATGGAATGCTATTCAGCTTTAACAAAGGAGGAAATCTCGTCATTTGCAGCAACATGGGTGAACCCGGAGGACACTGTGTTAAGGGAAATAAGCCAAACACACAGAGACAAATATAGTATAACTCACTCATACACAGAAAAGGGGATTGGGGAGATGTTGGTCAAAGGATACAAAGTCTCAATTAGACAGGAAGAATAAGTTCAAGCGATCTACTATACAACATGGTGACAATAGTTAGTAATGTATTCTTTTTTTTTTTTTTTTTTTTGAGACAGAGTCTCACTCTTTTCCCCGGGCTAGAGTGAGTGCCGTGGTGTCAGCCTAGCTCACAGCAACCTAAAACTCCTGGGCTCAAGCAATCCTTCTGCCTCAGCCT